TCAGGGGCAGAACTCCAGCCACCATGGTGGGAAACGGTGGACAGAACACAGTGTCACTCACCACTTGGGGCCCAGGTGTCTTAGTGCCTGCCACACCCTCTCAGGGCCCCACAAGCCCCCTTTACACCCCAGCCACAGCCTCGTCTCCTGCCTCACTGATACCCCTTCTCCACTCTGCAGGCTTGTTCATTCTGTCATTCCCTTTTTAGTGCCTTTACTCAAGCTGAATCTGCTTCCTGAAATGCCTTTCAATCCAGGTTCTCCCCATCCTCCAAGGGAAAAGCCAGTCTTGCTGCTTTCATAAAGCCTCCTCACCTTTCTCATGGTGCCCTGTATGAGTCCCTTACCATTCAGCATCTCTGCAGTATTCTGTGCATTTTGAAAATACTCATCTGATCGCTTCAGCTCTGACCTTAACCTTGTTTGTCTGTGGTAGTGTCTCTTTTATAGCTTGTCCAGAGATCCCTTTTTAGATGCTTGAAAAGATTTGACCTAACAGAACATTATGGTGGGATTTAGTGTTTTTAACTGGGAGTGCTTTAAAAATAATGTAGTGCAACTCTTGTTTCCCAGTTGATGGAATCAGGGTGTGTGAGATTTTTAAGGGGGTTTTAGATGTTCACTTAAATGCTTGATGAGCCAAGATACTTCTCTTTCAAGCATAGTTCATTTAAAAAAAAATATAGCTACGGTTTATAGTTTATACATTGAAGCGTATCTCAGCCTGAGTAGCCAGTATGTAGTCAGCGCAGATGCTGCAGAGCAGAGTGTTAGCTCAGGCACAGATGTGCCCAAGCAGAATTCTCGCAGGGCTAACCATTCCAGGCATCTTCCTTGTTTTCAAAAATACACCAGTCTGGGCAGAAATCATGAGTCTATCTAAGTCTTAAAGAAAAAGAAGACGATTATAACTTTTCTGAAACAGGAGATGGGAAGGTCACACCCTGAGCAGAGGCTGTCATGCAGCATAATGAAGGACAAGTGGCAATTGTTACTCCAAGGCTCCATCACCTGAAAGTCTGAGTCACCCAGGACTTTGAGCTAAAGAAATTCAGCAGTCAGCATGAGTTTCTGATATTTTCATTTTTGAAAAAGTTTTTCTTTTTGTTGCCGTAAGGGTACCATCTCCAGAAAAATTCAGTGAGAACAGACCAATAGACCAAGGTAACAAATGGAAGCATTACAATGGTTTGGTCACATACATGATTAATATCATATTTTTATTTTGTTAACAGCTGTTGGTTGACTTTAAAAAAATCTCTTTTGTACTGTTAAAGTTTTAAAGAGTCATTTCTGTTTTCCTCCAGTCAGTCCTAGCTACAAACGCTACCTGTGACTCCCAGCCAGTTACTAAAACTACCTCTGTGTCCTTGCCTCTTCTCAGCAGCCCATGACTCATCGAGAACCGTCACCTGTTCCTCAACCTGAAAACAAACCAGAAAGCAAGCCAGGCCCAGCAGCTGGACCAGATCTCCTTCCTGGACACATCCCGATTCAGGTGATCCGCAAGGAGGTGAATTCTCAACCTGTTTCCCAGAAGCCCCCGCCTCCCTCTGAGAAGGTGGAAGTAAAGGTTCCCTCTGCTCCGGTGCCTTGTCCTCCCAGCTCCGCCCCTTCTGTTGTCCCCTCTTCCCCTAAGAATGTGGCTGCAGAAGAGAGAGCAGCCCCCAGCCCAGCCCCCGCAGAAGCCGCACCTCCCAAACCCGGAGAAGCTGAGGTGCCCCCGAAACATCCAGGTGTGCTGAAAGTAGAAGCCATCCTGGAGAAGGTGCAAGGGCTGGAGCAGGCTGTGGACAACTTTGAAGGCAAGAAGACAGACAAGAAGTACCTGATGATAGAAGAGTATTTGACCAAGGAGCTTCTGGCCCTGGATTCGGTGGACCCTGAAGGAAGAGCTGATGTCCGCCAGGCCAGGAGAGATGGTGTCAGGAAGGTTCAGACCATCCTGGAAAAACTTGAACAGAAAGCAATAGATGTCCCCGGCCAAGTCCAGGTTTATGAACTCCAGCCCAGCTCCCTTGAAACTGATCAGCCACTGCAGGAAATCATGGAGATGGGTGCCGTGGCAGCAGACAAGAGCAAGGAAAGTACTGGAAATGGAGAAGATCCCAAAACCGAAACCCAGCACCCAGAAGCCAAAGAAGCAGCAGCTCCAAACCCCAGCCTCACGACAGACACAGCTGCCAACCCAGCAGCACCGTAGTCTCCACTAAATAAAAATCCACCCCAGAGACTGGGGACTGATTGTGTGCGTTAGGGAGTTTTAAGTTGCATGCACTTCAGGGACTGAAAATCAGTTGGTTTTTACTATTCATAGCCGCTTGGTACGCAGTAACTTGGGTGTAGGCAAAACACTAATAAAAGGGCTAAAAGGAAAGTGATGCTTTTCTTCCGTATTCTTATTCTGTACAAATAAAGAAGTTGCTTGTTATAAAAGTTTAACCGCATTGCTTGTCATTTTGGGGCCCTCTCTCTGCACGGGCCCCACATGTTAGCTGTGGATGTGAACTGTCTTCCTATAGCTGTGGACTGAAGGAGTTTTTTGGAGGATGGATGGGGAGTCAATTTCCCATCACTAAACAGGAAACCCATTTTTCAGAAGTGTTGCCATTTTAATGGGATGATTTTCATCATCTCATAGCTAAAATACTTAACTTTAGGTAGAATAAAATGTGTTAGGAGCCATAGGAATGTCTGTATGTTGGATGACTTTAATGTTACATTTTAAAAAAGGAAAATAAAGTGATAATGTAACTCAGAATGTCTTTTGTGGTTTCTAAACTTTGAAGAGTGGCAGCAGCAAGATGGTCTCTCACCGGCTTTAGGAAAAAGAAATGGTGGATGCATTTACAAGCCTGCTCTGGGATTTGTAACATCTCTACTGCCCACGAGAAAATGAGTTTTGGTCATTTTTCATCTCAGGTTGAAGCTGGAACCTGGGAAGACTCGGCCATGAATTCAGGTAATGGAGACGTGCCCAGTGCAGGTGCACCTGGCCCCAAGCCATACACAGGCCTCACCAAGGAGCTGAGAGGGTTCAAAGGTGCACCGGGAAATCAGTTCCCAGTATTGCCTGGGGCTGGCCCAAGCGTTCTGTAGAGTCCAGGTCACTGGAGATTGGGCATGTGTTCTATGAGTCTTGGGGTCATCTTTATCTGACACTTCTCTGAGTCACCAAGCCAGTCCGGGACCAAGTTTATCTTCCGAGAATGGGTTCCTAGAAGTCACTGGTGGAAGAAGATCTTTCTGTGCCAACGTTTTTTTAAGAGCTTAGGAAGGACCACAGCCCCAGAATACAGAGATGTGCTAGATTTTGTTTTCCTAAGTCCTTTGCCAAAGAAACCTGAAAATGAGAGGGAAGAGAAAGATGGGCTTGAGGTCTTGGAACTCCCAGGGAGCACGCTGACTTAAGAGCCCCTGCGCTGAATTCCTCATGACTGTATTGAGTTTAATATTGGTGCCTGACGATGCCACACAAAAATATACACTGGTATACTTGCTACTCTCAGCTTGATGAGAAAGGTTGAAGTCATTCCAGTGGGAATCCGCCAACATCTTTATGGGGTGAACTCATTGGAGGAGTACAAGCTGACTGCTGACACACCACTGATTCTAGAAACTTGAATGTATTAATAGGGGGGGGAAAAAGCCTACTGGACTATTTTTTAGGTGAACCAAAGATAAAGAATGTGACCTTTTTGTGTGTGACTTGAGCACCTATTGTCAGTGGATCTCAACATTAAGGCTTCTTGAGTGGTTACTGAATTAGGTTGAAGTTTTATCACTAAAGATCACCAACAGGTGGCCTTTTAACATAGACTATTTTCAACCGTTTGAATCAGGTAGCATATGGATATCAGGCAGGAGTTACCTGACCCGTGTTGGTGGTCCCTGCGCCTTGCATGGGGGCAACAGGCTGGGCACAGAGCTGGCTGCAAGGCTCTTGTTCATGTGACTGTCTGGGCCCCTGTAGGGGTCGGGGGACATACATCCACTGAGTCTCCCTAGTGTCAGGGGGTTTGACTCATTCAGTCATCCCAGTGCTCTTTAAGAGAACGTTGTAGTTTAGAACACAGGCTTGATTGAGAACGCCTGGGTTCAAATCGAAGTTTCATGAAAAAGCCCTGGGACAGTGGACAAGTTACATGGCCTTTTCCTTCCTGGTTTCCTCAGTTGTAAAATGGTGGGGGAAAAAATGAAATGAGACTTGTGAAACAGTGAAAGTAGTGCCTGGTACCTGACAAGTGTTAGCTGAAATTAACATCCTCATGTAATAGGCGAGGAAATAGGAAGTGACTTGTGCCCGCAGGACCAGGAGCAGGGGCAGGATTAAATCCAGGCCCAGGAGCGGTCAAAGGCCACACCAGTCTCACCATCTTTAGCACCAAGAGGGAAAGGACTCTGTAAGTACAGAAATTTGAGAATAACCTCTCACCCCTTCCTTGGTCAGAGCATTGGTTCTTTTTTTTAATTAGTGGATTTTTTTTTCATATGTTGTGTCAAAATCCTGTGAGGTTATTTCTTGTCTCCTAGATAAAAAAAGTAACTTGGAACTAGTAAGTAATGGTGTCTACACTGAGAGTCACTTACAGACTCATCGCTGGCCACCCAGATCCCGGGGTTTGGTTTGCAAAGGTTTCTGGAGCACCCCTCCCTCTCGCCTCGCCTCTGCTCCCCTCTTCCAGCCATTCCCACCTGAGTCTGCTCCCACTCTGCGTTTTTCCGGGTCTCACCCACCCTTGAGGCCCCCTGTCTGTAAGGTCTTCCCTGCTCGGACAGTACCCGTCAGACTTTGCTTTGCCAAAACTCCCGCCAGCCTTTGGTCTGGTTGCCAGCATCAGTTGTCTTCCAGCTGCTTTGATATATTTCCTGAGCAAGACTGCAGATCCTCTGAGGGCAGGTCCATTCTGACACCTCCTTATGCCCCCATTGTCATGCAGACTTGGCACGTGGGCACCCCGGATGGCCAGGAGGCCCTGAAAGTTCCTCTGACTTAAGGTCTTCTGATTCTGAGGCTAAACCGACGTTTACTCAGACATAAACATCAATATTAGTTGATGAGCGTTTAGGGCCACCTCTCCCCTCAGCTTTCTCTTGTCATCCCCAGAATGTAAGTTTTGGCAAGTTGTTTCCTCTCTCTGGGCCTTTTTCTCCCCGTCTTTGAAAGGTGGGCGCTGACCGAGGCCTCGCTTGGTGGCCTGGATGATTCTGGCGAGTCCACACTTCTTACTGTTGTGGTCACTGCGCTTCCTTTTTTCTCCAGCCACGCAGCACGGAGCTCCATCATGAGCTGTGCGTCCCTGCAACGCCCATGTGAGTGTGGCCGCGTTGCCCGCTGCGCTGTAACACTATACAAACGTAATCATATGCCAAGGGACAGGATCCAGGATTGCAGTTATTTTGGGACGTGCAGGAGCCTGTGGGAAAATGCTGGAACATGTCTGAGTCACTCAGGCAAATACCCTTCTTTCCGTGTTCCAGCATGTTTTGAACTTTCAGGCAGCGCAAAAAAAGCCCGGCAGACGCACACACCCTTTGTGTCTCGAGCGCCCTTCCTGAGCGGCACCTCTTGCTTCTCGGCTGTACCACATCCCCTGAGCACTGAAAAGCTTGTGTGCTGAGGGGTGCGAGGCAGGGCTGGATTACACCCTTGGAGGCCCTAAGCTTGGAAAACATTGTGGTGCCTCCCCAAGGTGTAATTCAAAATAAAAACAACAGTAAGCCACAAAAGAAGAGTAAGGATGATCTGAATTTGCCAAGTTACACTCTTTTTGCTTTTTTACAAATTAAATTCCACCAGCTTTGTGTGTGTGAGGCTGGGCAGGTGCCCGCTTTCCCGATTCTCCAGCTGCCTATTGTCCAGCGCTGCCTGCTAGCAACCAGCAGGGACTAGGAAGAGCTGCTTCAGTCCTGAGGGAGAGTGCTGAGCAGTGCTGTGGGTGCCCAGAACCAGAGGAGAGAGCAGGAGAGGCCAGCACTGGTGCCACCTGTTCTCAGTGGACGGGAGTGGGTGGTGGCCACAGGTCATCTGCTTGGGTCCCCGGACTCCGGAGCCCAAGACAATGAGGGCAGAGTTCCCGCAGCATCTGGAAGTCAGCCTGGAGGAGGTGCAGAGGGCGTTGGAAAAAGAATTCCTGGCAAAAGGGGCCTTTTTCTAGAACACTCCCTATCCTGTCCTTGCCCGCTCTAGGCAGCACTTGGCCCGGATGTCCTGGGTTGCCCACGTGGAGGCTGTGTTTCTCCACAGCCCCGTTGCTGAGGAAAAATGTCTTCTCTTACCCAAAGAGAAATCCTACCACCAGCCCCTGCCTTACTCCTTTCCACCTCACCTCTCTCTCTCACCCAGCTCCTTCCTTCTCCTGAGCTTACAAAAGTGCAATCTACAAAGAGCCATTTCCTCCTTCACCCTCAGTTTACCCCTGCTTATTATTAACTATTTTGAAAGAGCCAACTGAACTCACCACCTGGCCTCCCTGCTCTGCTCCACCCGCTGCAGTCTGTCCCTCAGCCCGCTCCTGTGGGCCAGGGCTGCGGTCATGGGCACAGCCTCCCCCAGCGCCTGGTCCCGCCTCCTCCACAGCCCACTCTTAACCCACGAGGTCTCCCAACTTCCTGTCCTCAATCCACTGCTCTCATCCTGCCACTATGTGATGGTTAGTTGTATGTGTCAGCTTGGCAAGGTGATAGTACCCAGCTATTAATCAGATACTAGTCTAGGCGCTGCTGTGCAGGTGTCTTGTGGATGTGGAGAGATTATCCTTGTTAATGTGGGTGGGCCTCATACAATCAGTTGAAGGCATTCAGAGCACAAACTGATTTCTTGGGAAAGAAAACATTCTGTCTCAAAACCGCAGGGTCAGCTTCCGCCTGAGTGTCCAGTCTGACCCACAGATTCCCCGCTTGCCTGTTCCCACAATCACATGAGCCAATTACTTAAGATAAATCTCTTTAAACACACACACATGCACACACACTTTCTGGAGAACCCTGACCCATGATACATACTGTTCACACTCTCACTGGGTCACTGGCTTCCACTTTCCAGACCCCAGTCCCCTCTGGGTTTATGTTACAGTTGCCTACAGGGCACACAGGAAAGTGAACATTCACCTGATATCCTCCAGGAACCTGGAATTCAAATTCCAGGGTTCCTTCAGCACCAAGTCAGAGCTGTCACAGCACAAGCCTTCCTCGGGGCGCCATCCCCAAAGCTCATACAGGCCACCAGGTGGAGGAGGGGCAGAGCCAGCCATCATGGTGGGGGTGGGGCAGGGGGCAGACGCTGACTTTGCTCGGTCCCAGCCCGTGGTTGCCATGTGAGGACATTGGTCCAGTGTTGTAAGAGCTTGCCAATTTTCAGAAAAGGCCAGAAATCTGTTTTTGTGAAATCTCTCAATTTTTAAACATTTTAAAATGTGTAAAAAAAAAAAAAAGCCCAGCAGGCCCAACAAAACCCATCTGCAGGCCAGATTCAGCCTTCAGCTGCTAGTCAGCCAAGTTTCAAGTCCCTCTGTGCTGTAAATACTTAATTCTGTCTTGGTCCCTCTGTCCTTTCCCTCTGCCCCTGGGACTGGAGAGAGCAAGGCCTATGGCTGTGACACAGGAAAATGGGGTGAGAGAGGATGACCGTGTCCCAGGGCTCAGTTGAATCCCTCATGAGAGTCCTTGGCTTTAAGCAGGAAAGAACACAAGAGCGAGCCATAGTAGAGTGAAGGTAGATTTATTTAGAAAGATACATACTCCACAGACAGAGTGAACAGAGTGCGGGCTGTTTCAGAAGGCCAGAGAAAGGCCACGAGGTGTGTGTGTGTGTGTGTATGTGGCAGGGTGTGGTTAAAGTAAAAGCAGATACACACTCCATAGACAAAGTGCGGCCGTCTCAGAAGGCATGAGACAGCCACCGTGAGGTATGGGGTTGTTAGTTATTATGGGCTTGGTAACTTCATATGCTGACATTGGGAGGATTATTCCAACTACTTCGGGCCAGGGGAAGGTGGGGAAGGGGGCGGGGATTCTCAGGAATTGGGCAATCACCCACATTTTGACCTTTTATGGTTAGCCTCAGAATTGTCATGGTGCCTGTGGGTGTGTCAGTTACCATGCTGATATATTACAATGACTATATTATAGTGAAGTTCAAGGTCTACTGGGAGCTGAATCTTTCGCCATCTTGGTGCTAATTGCTGTGTAATTCTTTTAAGGGTCGTGCCCTGTCCCCTTCCCTCCTGTCTCAGTTGGGGTTCCCTGACCACTGCATTCTGCCTGGGGTGAAGCCTGTGACCAGGAGAAAGGCAGAAGAATAGAAACGCTTCCTCTTTTCCTGGCCGGTGCTCTTCACCTGTTTTAAGGGGAGCAGCTGGGAGTCGATTCCGGTGTCAGACAGGCTGAGTTCCAATCCCAGCTTCCTCCCTCATTCAATAACGCTGTGAGCTTAGGGCTGCTTCTTAACCTTTTGGAGCCTAGATTTCTCCCCCAGTGAAACAGCGACAATAAGAATACCTAACTCTATATGAAGTGACGTTCAGTCCTGCAGACGACATCTTGCCCAACTGGGAGCGTTGTTTCTGCCATCCTCCCCTTCACACCACCTGATGACAAGGGGGATAGGGCCAATGAACAGGCCCATGGCGTTGGTCCTTCTCTCCAACCTCAGGATGGTACCTGGGCAGAGACCAGGGGAGGGGTGATCACACATCCCTCAATTTCTTCTCTCCCTGCCATCACTATTCATCTCTGCAACTCCCTACCCAGGCTGGGATGACATCTTTTTACAGCACTTTCCAGGCAGGGATTTTAACAGTTGCAAGATACAAGGAACAGAGTCACCTCACTCCATCCCTCATAGGACCTCAAGGTTAACTGCAAAGACCTTTGATCCCTGGAACCCAGGGAATACCTCGGCCAGGTCTTGGGGGTCAGGAGCTGAGGGAAGACAGGGATCCAGAGTAGTCCAGGGTTTGCCATTGGACTAAGCTCCAGCTCTTCCTGAAATTTCTCTGTTCTTCTCTCCCCACTAATGATTAGGACATAAGAATCAGGGCACATGACGCCATCAGGGAAGCACTCAGGTTGGCAACCACTGTCCATTCCAACTGCCAGGAGATGGAATCTTCAGGGAGAATGACCTCAACAAAGAGAGACCTGGGAGCAGTGTGGTTCCTGGGAGCTAGAAGCTGCTGTTGGTAAACACAAAGGGAATATAGAAATGGGAGCTGTAAGAGCACGTTGACCCTAAATGCCCCTGGCAGTTGGTACCAACCATGGCAGTCACCCTTCAGGGCCCCTCAACATTGTGTTTATAGAAGGATAATTATTAAGGGTGACAGCCCGGTTCCAAAACTGAGACAGGAAAAGGATGCCCTTATACATTTCTGAATAAAATGTAAGAAAGTCAATCCTAGGTGGTGGGGTGGTGAGCTAGACAGCAGGCGTGAGGACCAGCTCACGACCTACAGCCCTAAAGGCAGAGGTGCTTCGCCTCACCAAAGCCCACATGCCCACGGGCTTTTCGACCATCCTCCCACTGGTACAGGAAGAGTGTGACAGAATAGACAAACTTCCAGCAAGAAGGCCTCGGCTGGGAATCAGTCACATGGAAATTCACTGTGGACAAGCTCCAGAAATATCTATAATGTGGCTCTTCGTGACCTATATATTCCTGGAACTGCCTGGCTTCGAATGACCACTGCAGTGTGGGAATAGCATGAGCATGGGCATTAACTCTCTAGAAGACTGCTGGGGCTGGTTACTTGCATTCTAGAGGATAAGGATGCACTTCTGCTGGCTTACTGCTATGGGAGGCAGAGAATTCTAGAAGGTTATAGAAGAGTCTTTAGAGACAGTGGCAACTGCATTGGTAGCGGTGAAATCACACAGCTTTAGAAGACCTTACTGCCTACCTCCTCCTTCAATTGCTGCCTGGAGATGCATCTTCTATAAGCTCAGAACTGCGATTTACACAGGCTCGTCATGGCCACATGGTCTCCCTTTTCATCTGACCCTTTTAGCTTTCTCTCCCACTGTTCACTGTTTCATTATCCACATATCTTTTTTTTTTCACTGCAGCCTTGTTGAAATATAATTTATGTACCATACAATTGACCCATTAAAGTGTACAACTCAGTATTTTTTCAGTGTATTCACAGTTACGTAACCATAACCACAATCAATTCTAGAACATTTTCATTACCCTCAAAAGTTAAAAGTTTCCAAAAGAAACTCCATACCCATTAGCATTTACTCCCCATTTTCTCCTAACCCTGTCTTTACCTCCAGCCCTTGGCAACCATTAATCTACTTTCTGTCTGTATAGATTTGTCTATTCTGGAGATTTCATACAAATTGGAATCATA